CCCCAAAACCCCAAAACCCCAAAACCCCAAACCCCCAAAACCCCAAAACCCCAAAACCCCAAATAAGACAATTTTTATAGAAAAAATTACAAATGGAACTACAAACATACTTTGACAACGACGAAGAGGATAATAAGGAGAATGGCGGTAAATACACTTTAGAGAAGCCTTAAAGAGTCTTCAAAGGAAATTGGGAAATGGGTTTAAATGAATTTTGAGGAAGGGGCAAAACTTGAGTAAAGAGACTTCCGATGTTACAAAAGCAGCATTTTCGGCGAAATTACACAATAGGGGAACATAGTCGGCGAGAGGGATGATATTTCGCAAAGGGTTTGATTTAGTAGGGTGGTGGGATTTGGAAAGGCTTCTTTTTACTTAGGCATCAAACTCCGAGTTTCTTTATTATATATAAATCCTTTGGGAAAACATATTCATTAAAGAGCTTGGAGATAACACATATCTATCAATACATGAATCATTGCTAATATGCTGTATAGTGACGACACCTCCAAATAATGATCCAGATCCTGGACCTCCAGAAAACAATAAGACTCCCGAAGCTGAACAAACCAACGATCAAGAAATATCTCCGAATAACGGGTATGGAATTCATGATTTTTTGTTTTAAGTGAATTAATAACCATGAATTTGCCAAACTTGGATTCTAAAAATTTGGAAAAATTACCCTTTCACACATTTTCTGATAAAAATATTTCTTCCTCTCAAACTTTCATGCTATCTCTAACAATGAATAGGATTGACGAGCAGTTCTTAAAAGACATATTTGTTGAATCAGTTAGCAGGATCCTGGAAAATATGATCCAAAACTCAGCAACAGTGCTAAATTTTAACTCTCTGACTGTATTTGATGCTCGTGATATACCAGGAATTTCGATATACAATTACCTAAGACGAATAATGGCCTATTCTGAAGCTACTTCGAGGACTATTGTAATGTGCTTATCTCATATCGACAACCTTACGAATGACGATAGCTCTCCAGTCATACTAACAAGGCACAACATTCATCGACTTCTTGCAGTATCAATGATGGTTTCTGCGAAGTTTTATGAGGACTGCTACCTCGATAATGAGTCTTGGGGAGAAATCACTGGGTTGTCTCTCTTTGAGATCAACAGACTTGAGCGTAAGTTTCTTACATATATCGACTTCAAGATCAACACTAAGCTGGACTGATACATCCAGTATGTCCAGATGCTCCTCAGCTATGCTGTTGAGAGCAACATAGTTGATTATGACACGGCTGGAGGCCTTCTTCAGGCAATTGTAGATGCCTCAGCACTAGAGTTCGAAGATAGTGCTAACTAATTACTTTCTAAGATAACCATCAAACCCGAGTTTGGGTACTCTCAAGTTTGAGGAGCACTTAGAAGGTAAGGTACCTTCTAACCCTGAAGCTCTCGCATGTCAGTAGAGTACCCAGATTCGGCCTTAAGTTTTAAAACGCTTACATTCTTAAAAGTGTGTTTAAGTCATCTGCTAAATGTTCTAGTTTCATAATAGTGGCTTTTGAGAGTGGGATACCCAGATTGAGAGAAGAGCCTAAAGGATTATTAAGAGAGATAGAGGGGCGGGTGACCAGAGTAGATTTTTGAGAATAGGATTTAAGGGAAGTTGTCGTTAGGACTAGGAGTTTCAGTGGTAGAGAGTTAAACTGTAAAATCAAAGATTTTGAAGATATTTTTAGCTGTTATAAATAGAGCATTTTTAGACTAGATGACACCATATTATAATTTTTTGATAAATGAATTAATTCCAGTGTCTTTGTGGTGGAATGGGGTTTTGGGGTTTTGGGGTTTTGGGGTTTTGGGGTTTTGGGG